ATATTCAAAAATGATATATTTTTCAAGGGTTATAATAAAATTTAAAATGGTTTAAGTATAATTTTTAAATTTTCATATTAAAACTTACTCCTTCTTTTAGAGCATGATACTTCTCTTTCAGCATAGTAGTTGCTCAGAATGTTGCTTAATCTTATTCTCTCTTGCCATTACTCACTCGGTCGCTCGCCGTGTCAATTTTGTTATGCCACTCATTCGTAGTCTGGCTTTTGGAGCATACGGACGTCGTGATAGGTTTCGTGAACGCTCGATGTTTGTTTCGGCAAGTAATATCGTTTTACAAAATAGCTCAACAAATATAAAATATATATATATATATACGTACATACATATGTGTGCTTTGTTCAAGTTATCAAGAAATAATAAAGAAAATCAAAAGAGAAGTGAGCTACAAAAGCAAATAAGTAAAGTGAGTAGATTTCAAGAAATCACAAATGCGTGTACCAACACACATGTATATAAATTTTTTACATACAAACGTACATGTGTGTGCGTCCGTGCGTGCGTGAAGGTGTGAGTATGCGTGAGGTGCAAAATGAAATTCACAAACGGTAAAATAAATGAATAAAATTGTGTACACAAAGTGAGCTGTGGAATTACGGCGCAAAAACAAAGCCCACGAATTAAACGAAGAGGAAGTGCAAAAAAAAAGAAGAAAATTTGTTAATTCAAAGCTACATCTAGGAAAGTGCGTCGTTTTTATTCTAATACCGATACTGAAATAAAAATTCATTATAAGTGAGCCTCATTTGGCCTACAGGCAAATATACCTGCCAATGTTTTCATACATATGCATTATTGTGTCTGTGTGTGTTTGCCTGTGTGTGCGTGTACGTGTGAAAAGTGCAACATAACAAAACGAAAATGGTTTACAAGAATGCAAAAAGGTAAATACATGATATATCTGTCTGTGTATACATACAAACGGACTCGAAAAATTACTACGCAGCAGAAATTTATGCGCTACGTTGTTGTTTCATATCTATCATATCTTCTATTTCGTCTTTGTCGCCGCCGCTACCGTCAACGTCCTCTCGATTTGTGAATGAGGAACGCAACGTTTTCTAGTGTGCGTGTTATTTAATGTGTGTTTGTGAGCAGAGTAGCAAAACAAAAACCTCGCCTCGACTGTTCTCTCACTCATGTTCTCAACGCTGTTCTATTATGCTTTCAATGCGCACTCTTGTTCGCTCAGTTGTATGTGAGTGCTGGTAAAGTAGAAAAAGCAAAAGTGTGAAGAACCGCAATAGCAATAACAATAACAGCAGCAACAACACAAATATTAATAAGACTGATGTAAAAAAGTAAAATCGTATGTTAGTAGTAGTAAGAGTAGTAGTACTAGCAGCAGTGTTAGTAGTAGTGGGAGAGAGTCGGCTTGAAGTATTTGCTAATTAAAAAGCGTAACAGTAATTGGCATACCACTGTGTACTCGCTCTCGTTCGCATATCATTGCTATTTGCTGTGCGTTTAGCCATATCATTTATATTTTTATTTTTTCTCTCTTTTCTTATTAAATCACGTGTTTGTGTGTGTACATATGTATGACTGTATATAAAAAACACCATCAAAATGCCGTTGTATTAATCATAATATATTTTTTATGTCGGCTGCGTAAGGAATGTTGCCGAAAAATATAACATGCGTATTTTCTTGCCGAGCTTCTCCGTATGTGCTTGAATATATGTAAGTATTGCTTTTTTGTGTTTGTGCGTTCGCTTTCTGTGTAATTTATTTATTTTTAAATCAAGTTTGCTATTGTATGTGTTTCTGACTGAGTGACAAAAATAAGTTGCCGCAAAAACAAAATTGTTGAAAAACAACAGAGACCAGCCAAGTTTTGTATACAGCGAAACCGGAAATTGTTTATGCGACGTTGGCAGCGACGTCAACGCCGAGCCGATCGGTAATTTTTCATGATGTATGTATGCATGGCGGTCTCACTAATACACGCAAGTACATACATATATCAAATACATACATATAATGTGGCAAGTCTTTTGGAAATTTTTTGGCGCATAATTTGGCCACACTAATTAGCAGTACGAGGAGGAACAATAACAACAGCAACAAAAGAAAAGAAGGGAAAAAAAAATTGGTTTGACCACATGTCTAAACGGCGCGCGTGTGCAAACACAAACAACAATAATAAGAAAAGAGAAAAGAGAGCGAAATGAGGTGATGACCAAGTGTGGTATATATGCTTGTGTGTGCATGTACGTATAAATGCATTTGTGTGTGTTAGTTGAGCGAGACAAACTGGCAGGTGTCATTGACCCTTTAAAGCACATTTTTTATAGTCGTTATTGTCGCTGCTGTTATTTGCAGTATTTTTTCTCTGCTGCGTTTCTTATTATTGTTGTTATTGTTATTTATGCTACATACTGCGGCTGCTTGGCCTTGAACTTAGACGTGTTTTCTAAAGCATATATGTATTTGAGATCCAAGTTTATTTCCATGCTCTTTTTTAAAAGGCGTGCACACACGGAAAATGGTATCTATTACGCAATTTGCCTTTTTGCTGTCCCCATATATGATATGATGTACATACTATATACAAATGTATTAATACATATGTACGTGCGTGAGTAAAACTTGTCAATAATATATCAACTACTATATATGTACACATATGTTTATTAACGTCGACTTAAGGACTAGCTGTGGGTAAAAGCTGTGTTGTCCTCAGCATTGTCAGAATCAATTTTTACACATGACTTCATATGTTCAATTATCGACAAAGAAATAAAAAACAACTAAGAAGACTCTAGTCGAGACTGCTCGACCAAGAGATACCCTGAACCCTCCAATCTGATATTATAATCACCCTGAACTTACCCATACATACACACGCACGTATTAGAACGCGATCTGTTAACTGCGCAGTAAGCAGCGACTGCGCTTGGGCTGCGCTGCAGTGTAGGCAATATTATACGAATTTATTTGTTGAATAACTTCAGAGCTTAATCATAATGTTCAAATGTGTGTACATTGCAAAGCACAAGTGTCTAGTAGGAACGGGGAGTATAAGAGTCCTCTATGCGCGACTTCGGCACTGCTCGACTCATCGACTAGAAGATGCCCTGAATCCTGACGACTAATATGACTTCTGACATATCGGTAAATGCATTTTGCGATTTGGCACGCCCTTAGTGAGCGGGAAAATTAACATTAACAAACATCGAAATTGTATAAAATTCATCTAAATATATATATTATAACTCGAGATCTGCTGGACCAATTTTCATGGTTTTTGATTTTTTGGATTTGTCTCCGCTACGAGTAGGATAGTAGATCTTAAAAATACTGAAAAAAT